ACAATAGAGACCCGAAGTCACTTATATACCAACATATTTCAAACACTGGCCATAATTTTAACTTAGATCATCCCAAAGTCCTATATCAACACATAAACAATAATCAGCACAGATTGGTACTAGAATCCATCGTTTCATCACAAACAAACAGCATCAACAGGAAAATAGATCTACCGGAAATTTATCATATAATACCTCAATAGTTATCCCGTGATATGCCCGGGTGGGTGGTCGGGTTGGAGTGACCCCCGCTTGGCTTTTCTGTGTTGAAATGTTTTAAAGTATACTAGTTTTAAACTTTACAAATTTTCACAAAGCAATAACGCGCCATCTATACATATAAAATAAAAGGATTTAAAAGCGCGAATGTTTCTTTTATACATAAAACGAACTTCTACTGTCCTTACTGCGATGAAAAAATATATTGGGAGGGCTTGGCTCATCAGTGGTGAACCCTCCCAGCGGTTTCGCCAATTTAATCCACCAGACCGCTTCTCAGAGCTCTAATATTGTATTGGATCATTCTGCTTTTATATGCTACACTGAAGGATGGAATTTTAGAAATGGTTTTCAAGTAAACTATGGACATAAGCTTATAGGACAGTAGAATTATAATTAATTAATTATAATTATGTACTATAAGCTTATGTCCATAGTTTACTTGAAAACCATTTCTAAGATTCCATCCTTCAGTGTAGCATATAAAAGCAGAATGATCCAATACAATATTAGAGCTCTGAGAAGCGGTCTGGTGGATTAAATTGGCGAAACCGCTGGGAGGGTTCACCACTGATGAGCCAAGCCCTCCCAATATATTTTTTCATCGCAGTAAGGACAGTAGAAGTTCGTTTTATGTATAAAAGAAACATTCGCGCTTTTAAATCCTTTTATTTTATATGTATAGATGGCGCGTTATTGCTTTGTGTTAATTTATTCCTAATGACCTTGTCTTTATAGTTTGCTGAAGAGCATTGCTCGAAGCAAATATTTGAATATAATTCTACTGTCCTATAAGCTTATGTCCATAGTTTACTTGAAAACCATTTCTAAGATTCCATCCTTCAGTGTAGCATATAAAAGCAGAATGATCCAATACAATATTAGAGCTCTGAGAAGCGGTCTGGTGGATTAAATTGGCGAAACCGCTGGGAGGGTTCACCACTGATGAGCCAAGCCCTCCCAATATATTTTTTCATCGCAGTAAGGACAGTAGAAGTTCGTTTTATGTATAAAAGAAACATTCGCGCTTTTAAATCCTTTTATTTTATATTTACAAATTTTAAAACGTTATACCACTTGCATACAGTGAATATCATAATTTTGCTTAACTTTTAGCGTATATAAATGTATTTCCCAAATTTTATCAAATTTTAAAAATGTGTTTAAGTTCATTTGCATAGTATTATTTTTATATTTCATAGTCATAATTCTTATTTCTATTTTAATTATATTTGAAATATCACTTCGCATGTAAATTTGTATGTTGTATATAATGGCTCAAGCGCGCTTATACCCTGTTAGTATATTCATACTAGCCACGCCTGTTGAAGAACCGAAAGGTTCGAAAGCTAGCACAAGTATAATAAAAGATGCTCCTTCGTAAAACTTTTGATTCGTTATACAGTTATAATATTTAGGTGTTTATCTGTCTATATAAATATGTATGTATATAATGTGTTATAATACAATATAATGTGACTAATGATTGTAGGACTAAGTTTGAAAATTATACCGCAAATGTTTCTTTTGAACAAAAAATTGAAATTTATTTTAAGGAGAAATAACGATTATTTCTAACCTTAGGTTTGAAGTATGAAAGGATGAATTGTGAAGAGTAATAGTAAACGGAAAAATAAAGTATCCAGGGATGGGAATTCGTTTATTTTAAAACTTAGTTTGAGTGTTTATCTATATATAACAGCCTTTACACTCACATTCATCAGTATATTCGACAAGTGATTGGTTCTTTACTGTCACATGACATTAATCAGCCAATCAACTTTGAGTTCATTAGCCAATGCGCTTTCAATGTTTTCTTAACTTAATGGTTACATGGATTACCGAGGTACTATTTATTTATACGGGCGTGGGTTATGGAAAGTTAGTTTATAGGAATGGACAGAGGTAAAACAACATTTGATAAATAATGGAAAAACAATGGGATTAGAAAAACAATTACGAACCTTATGGATAATTTTTAGAGTTAAAACAAAAGAGATAATAAAATTCTACTATAAAATACCCAGTTTCGATCGTGATGGTGTCTATTTTATTTTACTGCTTATTGGCTACCTCCGGATTTGATAACGCATGCGCAGTTTGCCTTCTTTTTGTTGTCTTTGAACACAGGCGGATGTGGGACCACACCGGCGGTAGACGCATGCTTGAACTTAGCCGGCAAAGTAGTTGTAAATATCTACTGCATATCTAACCAGAGGTGATAACATTAAAGAGAATAGTTTATTTAAGAAGTTTGAAAGTTATATTAAACCAGGATTTAATCGAATTTGAAGCCAAGTACAATTTATTCTTATCTTTTTTATGCGAAGCTACAAAAAGTTTAGAATTTTGGTTTAGATATATTCAAAATACTCTGTCTCTCTTATGTACAACGGGAAAATGCTCAAGGTATATAAAATACTGAGAAAAATAGGCTAGAGGTTTATTTTAAAATATATTTTATTATTTTAAAAAGGCTTGGGCAATTCAAAATATAAAATATATTCACATATACGAAAAGAACTATATACACTACGGAATAACAAAACAATGTAAATATAAACAAAGCAAAATACCAGAGTACCAAAGAACACATATAAGCCTACCTATATATGGTAGATAAGAAATTGGAATAAAAATCCACCCTGTATATTCCAATTGCTTTTCTACAATAAAATTCGGAGGCTAAGCTCCTTCGCTATAGAATCCTCAAGTTCTAAGAATTATTCGGCTGATATAGAACGCACGAAAAATAAATAAAAATATAAACTTCTTAAGCGCGGCTTTTCTCCCCTTTTTTGTTCAACTTTTAGATTATTCAATTTTGGAAATATTGAGGTCTATTCCTCACCTCATCTGAAAGGCTTACGTAAATCCTATTTCTTTGTTTTGAACATTGTTGATTTAGTGGGGAATTTAATATTAGCTCTCCACCAATTCAACTTCTTCGCCCAGAGTTAAGCCTATTTCAAAATGGCGGCCTCGTCGAGAATAATGAAGAATAAACGAGGATCGTTTGGTAATAATCCAATAAAGAACCATTTTTTTAGATAATACTTTTAGGTGAAAAGAAATTTGAATATTATATTTGATAGTCAAATATCAGCTGTTTTTTTTCCTCTTTCTATTTAGTTTGAGTGTGTTCAGATATTTGTTTTTGTGCCGGCTACTTTAAAAATTAATATAGAAATGTAAATTAAACGCAAATATTTTAATCTCTATAAATTTTTCCAAAAGATGAAAACAGGACAAAATATATGAAAACCGACCATCATTATAAAATACTCTTTATAACCTTCAAATACTTTTCGTTTTCCATATATTTATTACTGGAAGTTGTACACACGATGGAGGCCATGTTAAATCTGTCCAATAGGAGTTTGCAACTGGATGTACTGACGTATATCCCGTACCGCTGTTTCCAGCAAGCATAGACATGTGGTGTACTTACTCTAAGTCGTAAACCCCTTGACCACTACGATTATAATGTAAATACACTAATGGACAAAACTTAAGGAAGTGGAAAATCTTTGATATAACCGGTCATCTTTTTTTAAAGGAGACAGAGACATTTTGTTGACACTTGGTTATCTCGTGTGTCTTCATTGAGGGTCACTGTGTATCAAATATCTTTCAGAGTTATTGTCGGAACCCCGATATACATGATGAAAGGTACAACTTCCTCAAATATTGTACTTGTATTGTGCAAAGGTAATGTTCCTTTATAGTCGTATTTATATGTTAATTTTTTATTTTCTTATTTTTTAACATACACACACATATATTTACTGTTGTCAAAGTTCACAGAGTATCCTTAAAAATGTCTCCATAAAGAATTACTATATATAAAATGAAAAGATTTGAGCGCGAATGTTTCTTTTATATACAATACAAACTTCTACTGTCCTTACTACGATGAAAAAATATATTGGGAGGGCTTGGCTCATCAGTGGTGAACCCTACCAGCGATTTCACCAATTTAATCCACCAGACCGCTTCTTAGAGCTCTAATAATTTATTGGACGATTCTGCTTATATACGCAGCACTGAAGGGTGGAATCTCAGAAATGGTTTTCAAGAAAACTATGGACATAAGCTTATAGGACAGTAGAATTACATTCAAATATAATTACTATATAGTATGTGTATGTGGCAGATATAAAAGAAGAATAGCCCAATAAAAGTAAAGTATTCACCCTGACAGAGAACACCGGGTCATTTACTCAGTTGTCTACAGTTATGCCCTGGTTTAACTTCCAGTTTGGCGAGCTGACTCCCCACAGGGTCAAGATGTATTGGCCACAACAATCCAAATTGTGTGTCACCCTTTCTTTCGCCTCAATTTGTCAACGATTACTTTTTTTTCCTGTAAATAAAAGCTAGACAGGTACTGTAAGAACTTCAATGGCCGCCTCAATGGAACAATATCTATTGTTACTCCGGTAAATGTTAACTTTTTCTTTTTTGCATTCACTCACCCCCATTGACACCGTTATTTGATAAACCCTCATTTTTTGGCCAATAAACACATTGACCTAGTGTGTGTGTGTGTTTTTTTTTTACTTTCTCTCTTTGCAATTATAGAAACATCTATGTTATATAGTAGTATATAATGCGGCTTATAATTATAAAACGACAATTGACAAGTTTTACCGCAAATGTTTCTTTTGAACGAAAAATCATAATTTATTTTAAAAATAAATAACGACTATTTCTATCCTTAGGGATGAAGTATGAAAGGATGAATTGTGAAGAGTAATGATGAACGGAAAAATAAAAGTGTCCAGGGATGGGAATCGAACCCACAGTGTTCCGCTTACCGGGCAGATGCCATGTCCACTAGGCTACCCTGGTCATATTTTTCCGTTTATCTATATACATAATATATAATTGAATGTCTATCTGTCTGTATGTTTGTACTCTATAGATTTAAAAACCATACATCCAATCGCCGTGAAATTTTGGGATATTATTAGGTTTATCCCCGGGAAGGGTTTGAAAAATAATTTCTTGAATATCTTGAATATCCTTAGAGTTATTTGCAGATTTGCAGATTTAACTCGCAAGCAGCGCCACCATTGCGACGATGATAACAAAATAAATCAATTTTCTACTGCCCTTACTGCAATGATAAAATAATGGGAAGACCTGGCTCATCAGTGGTGAACCCTTCCAGCGGTTTTGCCAGTTTAATCTACCATACCGCTGTAATATTGTATTTTACGGTTTCCCTTTTATACTGATACTGATACTGATGCTAGACTCTTAGAATAGGTATTTTAAATAAACTATGGACATAAGCTTTGAGGACAGTAGAAATACATATAATAATAAATATATAATATGCTTCGAGCATTGCTCTTCCGCAAATTGCAACTAATAGGGTTTTTAAAACACTATATTTATAAGATAGGTAAATCAATTGAAGAACAAAATCATGAGGCGAAGAGTCTCTTGTAGTTTTTTTTTATGACAAGAGAGAAA